GCATTTTTATACAACAATACTGCAGCAGCAGCAAGAGAAATTAAGAGGACAATCCCATTTACATTTGCACCAAAAATAGTAAGACACCTAGGAATAAATCTAACCAAAGAGGTGAAAGACCTGTACTCTGAAAACTGTAAAACACTCATGAAAGAAATTGAAGACAACACAAAGAAATGGAAAGACATTTCATGCTCATAAACTGGAAGAACAAATATTGTTAAAATGTCTATACAACCAAAGCAACTTACACATTTAATGGAATCTCTATCAAAATGCCAACAGCATTTTTCACAGAAGTAGAACAATTCTAAAATCTGTATGGAACCACAAAAAACCCCGAATAGCCAAAGCAATCTTGAAAAAGCAAAGCTGGAGGCATCATAACTCTGGACTTTAAGATATATTACAAAGCTGTAGTAATCAAAACAGTATGGCACAAAAATAGATACACAGATCAATGGAACTGATTAGAAAGCCCAGAAATAAACCCACTACATATCAATTAATCTTCAACAAAACAATGGGAAAAAGACAGTCTCTTCAACAAAGAGCGTTGGGAAAACTGGCCAGCTACAAGCAAAAGAATGAAACTGGACTGCTTTCTTACACCATACACAAAATAAATAAAAAATGGATTAAAGACCTGAATGTCAGACCTGAAATCATAAAAATCCTAGAACACGGACAGTAACTTCTTTGGCTGTAGCAACTTCTTTCTAGATATGTCTCCTGAGGCAAGGGAAACAAAAGCAGAAATAAACTATTGAGACTATGTCTAAATAAAAAGTTTCTGCACAGCAAAGGAAACCATCAACAAAACTAAAAGAGACAACCTACTGAGTGGGAGAATATATTTCAAAATGACGTATCTAATAAAGGGTTTGAATCCAAAATATATATAGAACTTCTACAACTCAACACCCACAAAACAAATAATCCAATTAAAAAATGGACTAAAGACATGAACAGATAGTTCTCCAACAAAGACATACAGATGGCCAAAAGATAAATCAAAAGATCCTCAACATCGATTCCCCATCAAGGAAATGCAAATCAAAACTACAATGAGATATCACCTCTCACCTGTCAACATGGCTAAAATCAACAACACAAGAAACAACAGGTGTTGGCGAAGATGTGGAGATAAAGGAACACTTTTGCATTGTTGGTGGAAATGCAAACTGGTGCAGCCAATCTGGAAAACAGTATGGAGATTCCTCAAAAAGTTAAAAATACAACTACCCTACGATCCAGTAATTTTACTACTGGGTACTTACCCCCAAAACACAAAAACACTAATTCAAAGGGATACATACACCCCTATATTTACAGCAGCATTATTTACAATAGCCAAGATATGGAAGCAGCCCAACTGTTCCTCCATTGAGGAATAAAGAAGAGGTGGTGTGTGTGCGTGTGTACATATATATATATACATATACATACATATATGTGTATATATGTGTATACACACGCAC